GAGAGAGAGAGAGAGAGAGAGAGAGAGAGAGAGAGAGAGAGAGAGAGGACTGCATTGCCTTTCAACATCAGCTTATTAATATGCACATTGTAAAGAAATACAGCTATGGACAACAGGAATGGAATTCAGTAAGCCTACATTGCTGCGTATCAAACAGAACATCTTCTGTGGAGCTACTCACAAAGAACTGACGTCGTTGGGGCTAATCCTTGGTACGTAGGAGGACCCGACGCAGATGATGGACTCCCTGGAGCAGCTGCATGTTGAAGGACATCGGAAAACCTTCTTCAAATGACCCGGTTGAGACAGGAAGCAGAGCGACACAGAAAACAGTGCCCAAATCTTGAGAGTTGGCGGCATCTTTCCTGCCGGGCTTGCATGTGTGAGGTTTGCTGAGAGCACAGATCGAGACAGATGGCACCTCGCGTTTACACCCTGCACCATGAAAATGCTGCACTGGCTCCCCCTGACATCAGCAAATCAGCTGCAGCTCCCCTCCGTCCACTTTAATTATTTATTAAGTCAGAGCCCCAGTCGGATAACTGTTGGTTTAAACAACCACGCGCCATACGTCGGAAAAAATAAAATAAAGTAAATGTCATTACGAGGCTGCCACAGATGAGCTGGTACGTCACACATCCTACACGTTAACATTGACAGAAGCATTTCAAACATGGCTTTTAAAAAATATTATATAGTTTGCATTTATCGACATGTAGTTTCATTAAATTATAAAATACACCGCGTGACACATTTATAGCCTTCCAAATTAAATTTCGAACGACGTCAGTTATTCACACGTGCACATTTTTGTTGCCAATTTTATGTCTGGCAGTGCTTTAGAATATGGATCTGTTCAAATCATTTAGATCATATGAAAGTCTCTTTTATGAATCCGTTTGGCTGAGACGCCAGGAAGTGATATACTGTTTCGTGAGGGACATTGTACATACAGTAAGCTGTACAGTACCCCTCCTTCATACAGAGGCGCATAACTGCAGCACCATGGACAGCGCCTCTGCTCAGCTGTGGGGCTTTTAAAACTAAATACAATGGCTGTCTGATTGGCTGCACGCATATGCAGAATGCAGCATATACAGTTTTAAAAACAATACGACAAAACAAGAAAACCCATTCAAGTAATTGCCACAATCAAATCGTCACACATTACGTTTCTACACACCAACAAAACTCAGAGACAAAACATGTGTTGGATAAAACTGGGGGGAAACAAAGACTTAATTGAGGCTTTTTCAGGCTTTTGAGCCAATGAAAACAGAATTAAAGCACAATTCCAGTTTCTGATCATATGCCAGAATATTTCATCATGTTGCCTTGATGGTAACAGCAGGTTGGTCCTCATATACCAGCCAGGTGTAATGTCCCTACTGGTACCAGTCTGATAATCCATGACCCTCTCCGTTAATCTGTGGCCCCGTTTGTGCCACTCTGGCACTACATCATCACTGAACTGTACCTGGCAGCTGCTGAAAGCCGGGAGCGAAGGGCCGTTTGTCATTCAGCAGCTTCCCTTGGGTACTTAAGACTTATGATTGAGTGTGTGGAGTGCAGATTTAAGAGAAATGTGTTCAAAGTCAGTCTATTTTGGCAAGGAGGGAGGAAGGTAAACAATCATTTGGGTTGAAGGCAACCATGAGGCTTCACATGTCTTTATTACCATTTTAAGGTGAAGAGACTTAAATGCTAATGATAAACCAACTTACTTGGGTCATGATGAGGCCTGATTTCACCATAATCTCTGCTGTTTGATTTTTTCCTGAGCTGCTTCCGTACTGGAATGCTTGACACTGACACATTGATCACACCGGTAACTGGATTGCATAAAAAAGACTGTGATGCCGTGTGCGAGTTTCTCAGCGGCAGCTCTTTTCTAATTTACACACTGCAGCAGACTTGATCAATAGAGGGGAGTTCCTTTAATATTGGCCAGCACGAAAAAGTGGGTCTGACTCTCCCGATCCCCACAGCATCGCTGCAACCTCAGCAAAAGACGGGGAAACCTATTAAACTGGTCACAGGAACTTGAGAGAGAGAAGCGCACACAGCATTTGCACAACAGCTCTGCACAGGAAGAGGCACCCAGCTTATATATCAAATATATACCGATCCACATTCAGAATCAGTCAAATCATCAACAGCTGATTATTTATTGATTCGGACTGGATCTGATGCAACAGAAGACGACAACATTGAGAAAATAGCCGTTTTTGTGAATGCCACTACTGCTTTTCAGAGTGCTGCACTGTAGCAGAGCCGTCACGGTGTTTTTCCCCCACTGTATTTTGTTAGTGGTTCAGTACAGCCATGGGAACAGTTAAAAGTGTGCTGATACAGCACCCTTATCTATCCGACTCCAGTCCCCTTTCAAAGGCTGCTGGGAGGATTGGTTCTGCTGCTGCTACACATGCAGTAACACCTGCATTTCCAATGGCTGTTAAAAAAAAACGCTACATGTGCTGACTGTATAATTTGCACAGACCTCGCAGCAACTGTGGCAGCTGGAAGCTCCAACTTTGGTCAAAACGCACAAGTGTTTGAACTACTAAAAACATGCAGCAGCATCTACTTCACATGTCCTGAGCTTTCAAATAACAATCAACCTTTTATAATCCACAGCAAGATGAAGGGGACGGGCGCAGGAAGAACTTGGGACAGTGCAGTAGCGAAATATAGATTAGTCTTCAGGCAGCGAGTCTATTTTTGTGCCTCAGGGCGCTACCTGCTCTGCTTACAAATGAACGAGATTGGAGAGCAGAGGGAATAAGAAAACTTGGTTAAAGATCGATTCCCCTGGTGAAGTTCTGACTGAAACTCAAACCCACCCTACGCTGTTTAACAGTAAACTACAGTATAACAGTTAACTACATCTCTCTTAAATTGTTAATGCTATATACATGTAGAGGTTCAGCAAACATTTCCTTTACTAAACACAGGAGTGATCTATACTTGGCGTACTTAATTGATTACATGATCCTTGCGATCGCTTCCACAGCCTGAAAGTAAATGAGCTAATCCAATACAGTGGCTTCCGATGGAGATAATGGCTGAACGGCTTTCGTATCACATTACAACACACTTCAGAGGACATGGCCCAACATATTACATCATGAGGCTATATTGTTTCACATATCGGTGAGTGGAAAAGCAGCCTAATGTATTCTTAAAATAGAACGCACATGAAGTATGCACAACGTGTCTGCCTAGCATTAGCGATGACAATTACTAATACTCCAGCATCGTTATCAAACTGCAAGACTGCTACTTTCTTGTATACTTCATCCCCATAACTGCACTGAGGCAGCTAAAGATTTAGGCTTAATTAAGAGAAATGATACACTGGAGGGAAAGGACATTTTTACATGGTTTATCCAGCATCTATTTTGAGTCCAAAAATTCACAGTTAAGTAAAGCATTTTCAACATATACAGACAACAATGCAAGTGTTTTGCGGATGCTTTGTCAGCATCGCCAGCTGTTGCTCGCTGAGCTCAAGGCTTTGACCTTATTACAATGTCTGGATTGATAATCCATCAGCAAGAGCCATTCAAAACACACACAGGCAGCAGAGTGCTCAGACTAAGTAGAAATCACTTTGTCTTTAAAAGGGTTCTCATTTCAGCTCAGTCAGTCATTCTCCTGTAGTGTCCCCCTCGCACAGTGGGACAGCTGGGGAACTACTTTTCGCAGCATTCCCCTCTTTCTTCAGGGTCTTCAGGCACTTGTCGAGCCTTTTGATGCACAGTGTCACGTCCTCCCGAGTGATGCCCACAGCTGAGGCGGCGTTCAGGTAGGGACAGGGGTATGCCTCAGAGTGGGACATAAAGCCGAGGAACCTGTGTCCGCTTACGGTCTGCTCCTTACCCAGCGGTATTACCCTAGAAACAGGTGGAAAAACAGGGACAATGTGGTAAAATACTGAATATTTCAGCATGGCAAACATTGGAATTTCAAAGTACCTGTGTTCTTAGGGTGTCTGTGTTGAATTTGTAATATGGGGAACTTTGTTACATCCATTCTTTTTAGAGCTTTTTAGCTCAATGCAACCACAATGACAGTAGTAATAGTAAACCAGAAAACCAAAACAATGAGTTGAAAGACTGCAGAGTGCAGAGCTCCATTGTGAATATTGATTATGGCAGTTATGAAGCTCAAGTTTCTATAATAGAGATAATACTTGTTCCGACTTGCTGGCATCCGATCTGGCCAGGTAACCATTGGGAGTTAGCGTGTGACTTAATGTGTCAACGAGAAAGATTTAACTTGGAAGTCAGCTGTTTGCAAAGTTAAAAGCTTGTAAATTCCTTTCGAAACTTGAATGCTTTCAAAAAACAAAAAACCCCACAAATGACAAAGTGTGAAACTCTGCAATACTGTAAAAGCGTAAATGACGCTGTAGTTTGGCAGAGTTTCCCCCACGGTCAGCACAGTTTAAACTCACTTTGAGCATGAATGTTAAAAGACAATGCATGTTATTCCGCATGCTGCTGCGATACGAGGACGAGCGATTCGAGTAAGCTCCGCACTCTGGAATTGAGAACAATGTTCACACACCCACTGAAGGAATCCGGGGAGGAAGAAAGGAAGTGTGGGGGCTGTTTGATGTTTTTTTAATGCAATTGAGCCATAAGTGCATTAAAACACAAAACAAGTCTGACATAATGGCCCAAATAAATCATTCATTTTGGGATATTTGAAATATTTAGATGGGAAAATGGAAAAAGAAAATGGCAAAAGTGTGTTGTCAGTGCTTTTGCAGGCATGAGGCAGAAGGCAACAATGAAGGATTGACAAATCCCCCCAACCCGTCCCCCACCCCCCCTCCCGCTTGGAAAAAGCCCGACCAGCGGGAGCGAGAACATGGCTGTGACTGTCTGTGTGTGTCGCCGTCCCGGTGGAGACAACACCGCTCTGTGGCTCGCAATGGAAACATGTCGTTAAGTTGTGGAGGCGGTCCCGATAGGATGGGCAGTCTAATCATCTAAAGTAGTTTCCTCTCTCCGCCAGATACAGCAGATCCATCTGGCTGATTGCTGACTGCCACTGGCCATTTTGTTTGGCAAACGCACAGCTCATCCATGCATTTCTGAGGATGCAGACAAAGCTATATTTGACGTTTGCGACGAGTGGAATCACTCCCCAACACACACACACACACACACACACACACACACACACACACACACACACACACACACACACACACACACACACACACACACACACCTCCATCCCCTCTTGTGTTCCGTCACCTCCCCATGTTTCCATTTCCAGGCCAGATTGTGGCCATGCCCTTTAAAAAGTTTTCCTACCTGGCTCCCGACACTTGCCGGGTGAACAACATGGAGCCCAGCTGAGTCACCGCCTTGTCGCTCTCGGCCTGGAGACCATCCAGGGACATGGCTGGAGGAGAGAGGAGCCACACCCAATGAGAAATGTACGGATACAGGGTCGGAAATGTAGCGTTCATGGACAGAACATACAGTGTGCAGATCTGCTGGTCTAAAGCCAGTAAATTGAGCTTACCCAGTGAAATGGGGTTATGTGGGGTGTGAAGCAATCGCTCCCCGTGTGCTGAGGCTAGACTCTTCAGCTCCTGGGCCAGGAACAAATAAATCTCCTGCAGGACATGCAGACACAGAGAAGAGGCATGGAAAGGCAGAACTAGGGGGGGAGCCGGGGCCATGAGAAACAACTATAAATAGTAGCACTATTTGCCTGACTGTGTGCGTTTCCCTCCAAGCTTCGGCACAAGCACTTCCTCGCCCTCTGTGGCCAGGACCTTCACCCACATCACACACACTCACCTCTGGGATCAATTACAAAAGGCAGGAGAGGCGCAACACATGCTTTTAATCCTGAAGGTTTAAACATCAACATGTTTAAAATATGATGACGAAGTGTGTTTAGTTCAGTGAACAACAAAACAGCTGTGTTTTTATTGGTGGAGACCAGATTCCCAAGTGAGGCATCGCACATTAAAGGATCGGCTCTCTACAACAGTGTATGTGTGTGTCTACTGCGTACTCTGCTGACTCATACCTTCCTCATTTGAAAACATCCAAGAAGGAAAATATTTGTCAAACACAAAGAGCCTTTCCATGATGTCAAGTGTCTCTAAGTGTCTCTTGTTCTCTTATAACAATGGGTGACTCGAGAGGAGGGTGCACGGCTATGACTCTGCATACAATAAGTGTGTGTGTGTGTGTGATGACTGAACCCCATTTCAACTAAAAAACACACAACTAATGGCTCTTTGCATATCTGTTAAAAAGTGGTCACATGGGGGGGGGGGGTGAGGAAAACACTCAGTTCTGCAGACACCATGGAAAACTGGTCCTGACATTAATTATGCAGAATGTGGACCAAGAGAAATCAATAAGTCTTGATGGGTTCGGCCAGAGGTATTTCCTAGATGTATATTTCTGCTACAGAGTCGGTTTCACTCAGGTCATATTTTGGGTATCGCATGCCGTCCCGTAAGTGCACCATATTTTAGGTTTACGTCCAGTTTGTAAGTACGCTTTGTATTCTTGAGGGGTTTTACGATAGAGCACGTCAGGAAACTTGATATACTCCATCTGAGGTTATTTCTGAAAATATCCTCTTCCAGCTTTTGAACATTAAAGAAGAAGAATGTATTTCTGTATCTTCCAGAGTTCTGAGCGTCAACAGAAATAAATATAGTCCAGTACATATGCAGTGCTTTTATGGCAGAGCAGTTTGGAGGCGTGAGAATGCTGCAGTGCCCACCATGTGAAGAGGGGGGGGATGCTGCATTGTGAGCGAGTCCGCTTTAAAGCAGGGAGCCACAAGGGGATGTTTTCTAAAACTTCTGGATCAATTTCATCTTCCTATAGCATACGCCTCCCTCTACAAAGCTCAGTGCTCGCTGAGCATTTACAAGTCTCGTTCCTCAGTCAGAATGCAGGGAAAGACACACACACACACAGCATGTGATCCACTGCAACTCAATACAACTTATGTAAGCTGTCTTTTTCAGTCATATTCGGACTGACATTGCCGCAGTGTTTTTATACCCCATCCATATCGTTTGTTTCATCCTGCCGCTATCACACCTGACCTGAAGTATGTGACAAACTATATCTTTGATTATAAAAAGGTCACGTGTGCGTGCGCTCACCTTTCTCTCCGACAGGAGTTTCTTGTAGCCGCTGGCTCCCAGAGTGAGAAGGGTAATGAGGACGTCGAGGGAAGGTGAAGCCGATGCTCGACCTGGACAGAGAAAGCCCAACAAGTGGCTTTGTTAAGCCGCACTAGGAACGAGACAGAGCTGGCTGTGTGCAAACAAACCGTATTAACGTTAACCTTTCAACAACAAGAAAAGAAGCTCCAGTAGCTGTTACGGTGACGCATCACATGTATGTCTCTATGGCAGACCAGGTATCAGTTTCCTGTCACTGTTCTGTCCTGTTTAAAAACATTACAAGTGAAACTGTAAAGCCATGGATGGATATCAAATCTTTGACCGAAACTGAACGTCAACAGTAACCTTTAAAATCATAATTTGACATACATACAGTACATTATAGAGTATATATCTTATACAGACAGAATGGCTTCTTGAATGGCTGCTTTGTGTGAAGACTAAATTCAACATGGATGCCTTTCAGAGAGTTTTGTTTTTTTAAGTATAAGACAGGTTTTTGTTGTACTATTCCTCAAAATAAAGTTAAATTGATGCAGGAACTAATATGTCATATTGATGCTGGGACATTTCAATCAATACCCATCTGTAATGGTGGCCGACTCTCACTAAATATGATTGAAAAGCTATGGCAGTAATAACTATCAGAAATTAATTATCATGAATTACTGGCTTCATATGCCTACATTCATCACATCTTCACTGTTGTAGAAGAAAATAATTGCAATAAAATAAAAAATAAAAATAAAGAAATAAAGAAACATGATTAAATAGACATCTACTTATCTCCTATTTGAATCAATTACCTCCTTAATTTGACTTTATGGTTAGGCCATAGTACTGCTAATGCTCACCTGGGTACATCTGGCTTATCTCCTGTATGAAGGACTCATCAAAACCTGCGATAATGGCGCCACCTACTGGAACCATGAAGTTCTTGTCCAGGCTCTGTACAAAGGCATCGATTCTTCCAACACGAGCCCCCTGATGAAAGACCGCCAAGGAAAATTAAGCAACCACCGTATGTGCCACGAATGAGTAAAGTACACGATGACAGAAAGGACGCTAACAAATCACACATTTGCTATTCAGAGCTGAGCTGCAGTTCAATTACAAGCACGAGTATTCCAGCACTTCCAAAACACAAATGAGAGAACAACCGAGGATGAGCCGTACTCACCTGTTGTATGAGGTGCATGCATTTGGACGACTGTACGCCGTAAGCGTTGTTAACTATGTGGGGAATATTATGTTTGGCACACGCAGCAGCCAGTTCCTCAAGCCTATAAGACAAGATAATTATTGACTTATCCTCACTTGCATTTATAAATCAACCACTGTGACATCTAGAAGATTTCTAAAAGGGGTAAATTAAAAACACATGTTACCTGTCGGGGACACGCGGGGCAAAGCAGGACGTTGTTGAATGAACACACAGGATGTTCTCGGCTCCGAGCTCTTCGATCTTGCGCTCAACGGCTTCCAAGTCTGTCCGCAACTCATCGCCCTCGAGTATATTCTCCACCACCACCGGCTCAAAGCCTGTAAAAAACAGTCAGCCATGCCAACAAAAAGTGCAAATATTTAGTCTGCCATCATCAGACACTTCACAAGGCATTATTTGAGAAGTATTTCGCCCACAGTTGCTATCTGCTGCCATGTTTGTGACACCAACGTGGGCTATGAACAGGATGTAAGGGCGACAGGACATCGGATGTTGACGTCATCGTCACCTGCTGTGATCATGGCTTTGAAACAGGACTTCTGGTCGATGCGAGGCCAGACGATGTAGCGCGCTTTGGGCCGTCGGTGGCGGAGAGTCAGGAAGCACAGAGTCAAGCTCATCCCTGTTGCCATGGGAACTACGAAGCAGCTCGCCACACTCCGGACACCTGTTGTCCAGAAGAAACGAAGCATTCACACACACAAGTAAAAACATGAATTTTAAAAAAGGGATAATCCACCAATTTCACACATGAAGTTCAGTTTACTCATCACCCTGCTGATACTCAGCCTGGTGATGTCATCAGAGTTATCACAGCTTGGATTCAAGACTTGAAAATGTACTGAGTTGCATTATGGGAAATGTAGGAACCCGTGTTTGTGGAGCCTCACCAACACCAGGGACTCCAAGTAAGAATATCTCTGCCAATTTTTTTTGCAATCTGTCTTTTGGGAATCCTCCAACTTTATGGAAGTGCAAGACTAAATGACTGGAGGTCATTATTATTTATTACTTATTTCTAGTCATAACACAGCTGTTCAGTGGCGAAAAAGTAACAAAATTCAAACATTACTTGGCACAGTTGTAGAATGTCCTTTACTCTGAATGATAAGATTTACACACCTGAGAGCTTTAAGATGTCCAACACCACTGAATTGGTCAGCTTGTTGAGCAGACTGGATCCTGCAGCTTTGGGCTGAACAGCAGCAATATCACCTGACCGACCGATGCCATGGATCAACCTGCATAAAACAGCTGGATGTCACAACAGAAGCCGTGAAACAAGCCTTCTTAAATTTGAGGCATCCAAATATGGTATATCGTTAAGTTAATGATTGTCAAACTTGGACCTGTAATGTCGTCTCGCCACCAGGCTGGATGCCACCCGGCCCTCCCTCTCTCCTACACCACAGTTGCTGAGGAAGTTATTGCTGTCCATCACGGCCAGCTCGCTCAGGAAGAGCTCTACGGTGCTCTCGCTCCACCCGTCCTCTGGACACTTACCCTGCAACACACACACACACAACACGATAAGTGGGTGGATCTACAGTGAATTTGAGGAACGATGAGGGCAGAGCTGTGGCCTTTACCTGCTCCAGTAAGTGTCTAATGAGCTGCTCATGGCCACGGCGCGCCTGGCTCCCCTGTCGAACGTAAGAAGTCGACACTATCTTCTCACTCAAGCTGAAGTTTTCACTGTTCATCTCTGTGAAAGAAACCGCTTCGTGTTAACATCAGTCGCCAACTCTCTCTCAAGTACTTAACTTAATTGTAAAGGGGTCACTAGATCATCAAAGATGAAGATCAGCAGGAGTTCTGACTAGCCAATGAAAACAGTTGTATAATGTCTTCTTTGAGCTTGTAGACTATTTGTAACAACACATCTTTGTTACAAACTTTGAATGATATGGGTGTTTACCAGTGGTGTATAGTAACGAAGTAGAAATACTTCGTTACTGTACTGAAGTCGTTTTTTACTTTACTATTTATATTTCTGTTGACTTTTACTTCACTACATTTTGCAAAGAAAACTGATACTTTTACTCCGATACATTTCATTTGGTGAATCAGTGGTCCTAGCTTGCAAGTTAAATCATTGGTTAATCACGTTAATGCGCAATTGCAAACAAGTGCTCTCAAAGCCGCGGTGTTTAGATTCCCAGTGATGCCCACGATGCTATATGCTATAGCTAGCGAGCGACAACACGAGCAGAATTCCACACAGGACGGGTGGGATGAGGAGAGGTGGATGGGTCAAACAAACACTGGTGTTTCCTCCAGGAGGCCGCAGTTTGTGCCATGTGTGAAACGAGAAGCCAATGTTGATTTATTTGTGACGTGACTTCCGTACTTAAGCAACGCCACTTCCGTAGATATTTTAACGCAAACCACGATCTTTTCCTCAACCTAACTAAGTAGTTTCATCGCCTAAACCTTAGTTGTTTCCTGTGAAGATGGAAGTTTATTTTGGAAAGACAGTATGCATGTATCAAGCGAAAACAGACTCATGTTGCTGGACTTTTGCAGGAAAAACGGACGAAAAATGAGGACTAACTTTTTGTAACATATCAATAAAACGGGGATGAATTTATATCATTGTATAAAGAGAGTGGCATGAGAAGATCAAGAAGTCTGTAAGTTAAATCAGCTATAATCACTCTTTTAAAGTGATTAGTGACTCGTCTAAAACATTTAAAAAAGGAATAACTTCGATAGAATCATTCTATACAATGTAGCTTCTTTACATTCTATTAGAACGTAAAGAAGCTACATTCTGATACAATGTAGCCTCTTTACATTCTAATGGAATGTAAAGAGGTTGCATTGTAATACAATGTAGCTTCTTTACATTCTAATAGAATGTAGCTTCTTTACATATAATGTAAAGAAGCTACATTGTATTAGAATTGTCTTTTGAAGATGAACAGGACATTTTTCAGGTTCAAGTCATGACTGGGTTGTTACTTTCGGTGCTGCTTTAGTATTGATCATGTTTTGATATTTGAGTCATTTTGTGGATGATCAGATGGAGTTATGATGGTAGCAGATTCAGCTTGAGCAAAACCTTTGCCTATTGTGTTCAAATCAGGCCCATAGGAGTTTACAAGGCAGGTGTCCTTTCTCAAAACACTGACCTGATGCATCAAGTGGATATTTTTTGCTGAACACAATATTATGCATTTGCCCTCTACATCCTCTAGTCGGAATGAGCATACTTATAAACGCACTGTTACAACTCCTTCATAGTGTCATATTGCTTTTCGGAGAATTATGATGATAAATTCATAGTAGATGCAAAAGTATACTTGTGTACAATATATTATGTTGAACATTGTTGCTCCTGGATGGATCACAGCCAACCCAATTATTTTCAACACAGCTCCATGTCCTTGGTCATGGTGGCCACAGCACTTAAAAGAATAAACTTCATAATTCTCAGAATTCTGACCCTTTGCTTTTTTATTAACAGCATTTACTTGTACTTTTAATACTTAAGTACATTTAATATCAGCAAATTACTTGTGATACTTAAGTACAACAAATATCAGATACTTTAAGACTTTTACTCAAGTAGTATTCTAATAGGTGACTTTCACTGGAGTAATTTTCCAGTAAGTTATCTTTACTTTTACTCAAGTATGGCTTTTGGGTACTTTATACACCACTGGTTATGGATATCTTTGCATCTGATGTTTTTATCTGTCTATTATGAGTTCCTCTTGACTTTATGAAAGTCCAATAATAAGAGCTGGAGTACGCCTCTATAATTCCTTCTATCCATGAACAGACATGTCTTCTATGACATGCCCAAATTAAATATGTCTGTAGAGTGAATGAACATGAACATTGTCGAAACCTGAAGATATTTTGGGGTAAATAATATTCTGCATTGCTGAAACAGAGCAGCAGGGAAATAAGAAAATACATTTCTACCCAGTTCATTGCAAGCCAGGACACTCCTATAAAACAGACTTACACCCATAACGTCGCATGTTTCTGCTAACGTTACCCTCATTTGGTAACCCAAGAAGAAGGAAAAAAGTAATAACTTTGGCTGTTAGCGTGGTAACAATTAGCTAACCTCCCGGGTTAGTCACCTCTTGGCAACGCGAGCAACGCTGCTAGCAGCTACTAAGCTAGCGTTTGCACGCGAGGAATGAGGCAGTTTTGGTAGACGACAGTTAACATATCTTCTTACCTCACAGCTTTCCTGTGAGACTCTCCGTGTTTCGTACCGTCAACCCGCCTCCAGACTATCAACATGCGTGAGAACCGTCAGGAGGAGGAAACAGCTTCTTCTTCTTCTTCTTCTTCTTTAGGGTTTAACGGAAGCTCGGGCGCTACTGCCATCTTCTGGAGCTAGTTAACTCCTACACTACAGTGTCCGCTTTGTCAGATGTTTTCCTAAATCCTGTTATCTGGGACAATGACCAATCATCTCATGCCATGTCCACTTCCGCCTTTCTCTTGCTGCTGTGAGCCCTAATCTTTTCATTATTCCCAATCCATTTCTCCCAGTACCCACTCTATTTTTAATTGAATGTAAATGTCTCCCCTGATCCTGCATCTCCTGTCCTTCCTCAGCAGGCCTGTAGCATGTTTTTGATTGTGTGACTTTCATTAAAACTTCTCAAGTTCATCCAATAGTTCACTGAAGCAGTTGTTATTCTGCACGAGCACAGTGGCGTTTATCCTGCCTCAACTTGTAGAGCACACATCGAATCATATGCTGAAAACGTGTATTTCTTTATTAGCCTTATTTATGTTTTATTACAGCTTCTTTACATCTATCGCCCCTCTATGGTAGCCTTCTGCCTTTGTTTTATTTTGCTTTGCCTCTGACGGGTGTATCTCAGTGCAACTTCAGTCACTACTGCATGAATGCCTGTTTTACATAAGACTGGATCATGGTCACTACGAGGATTTTAATAATTCACAATCACTAATTCCTTCCGTTCAGCCATGATTCAGCCATGATTAAAACAATTATGGCACAAAGTCACATGATCTAGGAGAGCTATTCACTGTGTGTTAATAATAATAATCATATTGTGCAGAAGGGTGAGCCAGTCAATATATAATTCATCATTTAATTTAAAATGTTATCTTTTTGATTATGTTTTAATTTTAATTTTTTTTTGGAAGTAGATGGTATTTTTGCTGCAACAAATAAATAAGCTTTCACCAAAAAAATTGTGAAGCTGATATATTGGCATTTTTTTAAAAAGTTCACCAGAAGCCAATGGCAGAAAGGAATAAATCAATAAAAATCATGCATAAAACATATTTAAATATATTTCATATAGTTTATTGAAAGACAAAAACAGAACTGTACACACATTTAATTATGTTTTATTAATTAGTTAATGTTAGAATGAATAAACAGCATTTAATTGCACTGCCACATATACACACTTGATATTGCCAAGCCTTCAGAAACACATAACACATTATGTCATACTTTCAGCTCTAAAATCAAATGTATTAGAATTATTTGCAGGATATGAGAACAATTGCAAACCTACATCATTTACAGGGTTGATAGTCTGGGGACCAACAATAATGCACTTCCATAGGGCAATGGTGCAGGATACTGGTGGAATATTACATTTTTAACTTAAGTAAAAGTAGCAAAAAAAAGTCCTATGTAACAATAAAAGTCCATAAGTGCTTTTACCAAAATGTATTCAAAGTATTGAAAGTAAAAGTGAGCATTATGCAGAAGGACTCATACTGGGTTAATATAACTCATATGTGTGTGCAGCATTTTAATGGTCAAGCTAGAGCACATTTGAATGATTTCTTTTATATAGTGCTGGGTACATAAATCTATAACAATGCATCATATGTTATACATGTACCATCTGTATAAAAAATATTTTCAACAAATCAAATGATTTAAATAAATAAATGCAGTGTAGTAAAAAGAACAATATTTGTGAAGTAGCATCAAATGGAAATACTCAAGTAAAGTACCAGTACCTCAAATTTGCCCTTAATACTACTGTGTGTACTTGAGTAAATGTAGGCTACTTGGTTAGGCTACTTTCCACCAATGGATAAAGGGAGTTGGCTGGTATTTTGAACATGTCCTGATTCTTCAGGAAAATATTAGCAGCCTTTAGCCTTCTTACATGTTGCCTGATATTGTTATAATTATGGTAAAGCAATATGTCGAAAATATGGCTGGCCAGTCTGGCTGAAATTAATAAGAATGTTACAATATCATAATATTTCACATGTATAAAAAATAAAATTAGTGTTACATTCACTCTTTTGCATTGCATCGAAATATATATATATATATATATATATATATATATATATATATATATATAAAATAATAATTCTGTCAGAGATACAATTCTTCAGAATAGTTAATTTAGACAACATAAAGAGAATATATTCCATAGAAATTCAATTGCAAATGTTTATTAAATTAGTGCCAAAACATGAGAAATCATAAAAAACGTTTCACTCACACACAGATTAAACAATGTATTTGTTAGGGCTGCTTACTTTTTTATTTTGTATTTTGTAATGAACTGTATTGTAACCCTTAGCCCACAGCCCCAGTGACACAAAACCATGCATTTATCCTCACACAGAGGCAGATTACTTTAAAGTTATGAAATTGTTTAAGACAATACTGCTGACCTTTACATGTATCATATATGCACAAATGGCCACAATTCAAGCCTAAATGAATCCACTACAAAGAGCACAGGACAACAGACTTTGTGGGAAATGTCTAAGTGTAACCAGTAGATACTTCCATGGCTTTGCTGCAAAGGGGAGAGAAAGATGGCAATTTGATGGCATAGCAGGGCTTTCAACTCAACAGCTATGCCAACATCTTGCCTTCCTTCCTGGACCCATGTTTAAACAGATGGATGGTAAAGTCCGTTCAGGAGCGCTGGGATGACAAATGCGCACACCGCGTACTACATTGA